TTCACATGAGGAAGTTTGCATCTGAATTTCACTTTTCCCCTTTTCGCTTTAAAAATTAGAAGCCTCTGGCACCAATCCCCTGGCTCTGCATAATGCCTGCCCCCTTTCAGTGAGAGTTGAAGCCTCCAGTTTGGTACACTCCCCTCACCCTTGCTGTCCTGACTGGCTCATTTCACACACCATCAGCCTGGCTGTGTGAGCATTATTAACATTTGCAACCTCTGCACCTGGATGTTGGCAATGTGGACCAGGGTGAAGTTTGAACCTCCCTTATCTAAGTGACTGTCCTATTTCTCTTTACTTAGGATGGGACTGTCTTGTCACAGCATATCCCCAAGGCCTGGGAGCTCGTGGCTCATGTAGAGTGAGACACAGCTTCTTTAGCAATATCTTGGGTCTCCATGCCCCCTTCTAATGCTCAGCTCGGTTAGGAGATGCTAAGATTTCCCCCACAACTACCTTTTTGTTATTGTCCTAATAGAGGTTTACCTCAAGGAAGGAGGTCCTTTGAAAATATGTGAGTCTTCAATGTTGATTAAAGACATCTAAAACACACACACACACACACACACACACACACACACACTTCCTTTTTTGGCCAAAAAAAAAAATCCATGTTAAATGACCCATGAGGCTGTCCAGCTAGTAGAAGCATCATCTTCTCAGTTCCTACTCCAATTTGGGGACATTCTATCCAAATAGCAGGCCTGGTTCCAAAGAGGAACTAAAGATCTGTGTGAAATTAATTTTGTTAATCTCACTGCAAGGATCCCAAAGGGATCAGGGAGTGATGGAGTTGAAGTAGGACTGGTGGTTTCTACTGGAAAGCATAAGAACATTCTCCTTCCAGACATAAGAACTGATTATTGAGTCCAAGCACCCCATGGTCTTTGCTCTGAGCATTTCTGTTTAATGCCAAGGTAGAGTAGAGAGCCAATAAGCAGTGGAATGTGCCACAGAGACTCTTCCAAAGTGCTTGGCTCCAGTTTTTTTTTTTTTTTACATTTATGGGGAGTAATTTGTTGCATGTGTCACATGTTCTGTAGCACCTCTACTGGTCTGGTACAGCCCCTGTTTATAACCCCCCACCCTGTTTCTACAGCTATCTCACTAAGGAATAAACAGAGGACATAAAGAGGGACACACCAGTGGATAGTCAGCTTTTTGCCATCAAATGAGGCTCTGGCCCGGTGTCAGAGTGCCTCACTCATACAGAACAAGAATTTGACATCACAGAAGAGGGTTTAGCCCCCCTGTACAGAGGGCCAGGCAAGGCAATGGTCTCTAAGAGGAGACACGTTTGAACTGAAACCTGAAACATCAACTGGACAGGAAACCGAATTCACCAGGCTTTTGAGCTAGCCCCCCACCCCCAGGCACATGTCTGGAAGAATGTGAATAGCCCAAGAGACAGCAGTTACCCATCCTGATGGATACAGGGTTCTACTACCTGGGGAGGGAGAGCAAGCATGACAATGACCACTCTTGTCAGAATCACAGGACTGATGCATAGTCCAAGGCCTCCCAGGGAAGGAAACTTGTCGGCTGTGGGTAAATAGATTCCCCAAGACATTTGTAACATGCCCAAATAAGGGAAACACTGATTTACTTGGCTCATCCTATGTGCCATGTATTGTTCTAATTTGTTTAAAAATATCAACATGTAACTGTCCTTACAGCCCTTACTAGATAAGCAATTACTATCCCTGCTTTCCAATAGGAAAAAACCAAAGAGCAGAGAAAATTTTAAAAAGAAAACAAAGAAAAGAACTTTTCCAAAGTCACTTGAGTTCAGAGTGTAACTTTTAGACTGAAATGCTACCATTGTCTTGCCACCAAAGAGAGAGCCTCACTCACTACAAACCAGGGCCTTGCTTCCTCTGCTACCCTCTGGACCCTAAAGGTGCAGGTCACACCGAAGGGGAGTGGGCCCCTCTGCTGAGCAGACCTCAGGGGAGGAACTTTCTCTCTCTCTCCTAGAGGTAGGAGCAGAGAGATAACCAGTGTGTGATGAGCACAGTAGCCTTGGGGTTTGTTACTCTGCCTTCTCTTTGTGTTGTCAACATCTGTCACGCTGCTTCTGTTTGAGGGGATAGGCCGGGAGCATTGAAATCTGTGACCTGAGGGTCAGGCCTGGCCAACACTGTGTCCTCAGCGTGTGTCAATTCCAAAAGGCAGGGTTTGGAAATCAAGTCAATAGAAAACTTGTCTTTATCTCTCCTGATAGTGCTCTGTGGTGTTTGGAGAGAATTGAGCAATGATGAATGGAGTTGGATCAGAGAAAACGTCAATTCGGGGCTTTCAGAGTCCCAGATATTGTTGGTTCTCGTGTTTCTATCAGTTTGCCTACATCTTACTTTAAAGAGAAAGGAAGGAAAAAGAAAGGAAACCTCCAGATTTATGCCTATCCTCTCTGAAAGGATGTTCTAGAACATGCCACTCTCTCTCTTCACACCAGATGTGCCACCCATGAACATAAGCCATCACCAAGTAATCTCTTTTGATGGCTCCAGTGTTCTTTCCAAGGACAGCTGCTCTGTATCATAATCCAACAGGGAAAGGACTGGAATTGTGCCTGTGGTGAGGGAGATGGCTATGTGCCAGGGGAGGCATGGCAACTCCTGCTTGGAGAAGCTTTAAAATAGAGAGGTAACGTTAGAGCTTCTTTGGGCTTTACTCCTGAGGAGACAATAACACGGAAAAGGGAAGCTTCTACTTCAAGTGACTAGGTGGTACCTATGGAGACGAATCTGAGCCCAATCCCGGAAGCCCAGGTCCCAATGCCAAAGCTGGCTGGATTGTTTCCACTGATACATGCTGATACATGACTTCTTATCACTTGTCTTCAAATTTTTCCAGCTCTGTGTGTGTGTGTGTGTACTTATACATGCTCATGAGTGTGAAATTCAGAGATCAACTTGGAGAGTTGTCCTTCCTTGGGAGCTCACCATGTTTTTGGGGTGGAGGACAAGATCTCTCACTGAAACTAGAGCCCATCACTTCCACTTGGCTTGCTGGCATTGGCCACCCCAGTGCTGGGATGGATTACAGATACGTGCCACTGAACCCAGCTTTTTCATGGGTGCTAGGGATCCGAACTCAGGTCTTCATGCTTGTGTAGCAAGTGCCAACTAAGACATCACCCAGCCCTCTAATTCTTCTAAATCACCCATTTAACATTTTATCAGTTAATTCTGGAGTCTTGTGAGCCAACCTGGAGTGAGCTGGGAGAGGAAGACCTACCCTTTCTTTGAGATCTCATGAAATCTCCCTTTCTGCTGTGTCCCTCCAAAAACCTCTCAGCTGCAGAGGGAAAGAGGCATCTGAACACTGTCACATCTGTCACATGCCTTCACTTATCGCCTGGACAAACCCCACTCCTACCCTCTACACACACACACACAGCTCCCACAATAAAAGCCTCCAGGGTTTGAAACTTCTAGAATAAAAATAATGACTCTGGAGCAAGTAAAATGGCTTTTGGAATGAAGGCACTTGCTGCCCCATGACGCAAGCCTGACGACCTGAGTTTGATCCCTGAAACCCACAAAAGGGTGGAAAAAGAAAAACAGCTGTGCCGGGTGGTGGTGGCGCACACCTTTAATCCCAGCGCTAGGGAGGCAAAGGCAGGTGGATCTCTGTGAGTTCCAAACCAACCTGGTCTACAAGAGCTAGTTCCAGGACAGCCTCCAAAGCCACAGAGAAACACTGTCTCAGAAAAAAGAAAGAAAAAAATGTAATGTTGTTCTCTGACCACATGCCACTCATAATAATAAGTTAATATTTAAAAATTAGAAAAGGAATGAACTCTCCCTAAACTATAGGATCAGATGGGTTAGAAAGGCTCTCAGTTTTGGAGCAGGCCTAGACATGAGCAGCAGGGTAGCAGAGTTCCATGGGAAGTGTGTCTCCCTAAAGAGGACTCTCCCTCTCGTGGAGTGTGGAGGTTTAATTGGTCTGGAAGCTGGGATGTGCCACCTGGAAGTAAGGACACAGGGCAGCTTCCTGTTGAATCTGACGCGGGCCTCCTGAGAGTCAATGCATGGAATAAACCAAAAGGGTTAGGATCTGCTGAGAAGTTCCTGCATCCCCTTAAAATGCAATCTGTCATTTCAAATGACTCACGTACAAATGACAAGGAAGACTAAAAATATTTGAGCCTGATACTTGCATCTATTAAACTATTAAACAGTCATTTTGTTGCTCACAGCCAGAAACTGGGTTTTAGAAGGTTACAGGGAACTGTCTTCCTCTACTGTGGCATATTTGTGGTTTAGCGGTGAACTCAAGTGTGGGAGATGCCCAGGTGGGGCCACCGCCTCAGAATCACAGCAAGTCATCAAGTGTGATCAGTGGCAGCAGGAAGAGCCAGCTTTGAGGGCTGGTGATGTCACTGAGCTGCTAGGGGCTTCCTAGTGTGCAGGAAGCCTTGGGTTCCATCTCCAGCACCAGACAAAACTGGATGTAACAGCAGGTGCCTGCGGACACAGCTCTCAGGAGGTAGAGGTAAGAAGATCAGAAGTTCAAGGTCATTCTTAGCTACTTAGCTACTCATGACTTAGTTACAAGGTCATCCTAGGCTAATCTAGACTTGGTCTCAAAAACAGCAGATGTATTTGTTTGAGCAGCAGAGTGACAAATGCCCGGTGACCAGTCCCTGCCAGCCTGACCCCAGAAAAGCAATGGGTGCAAAACAGCCCAATAGAATCACTCTCGATCCAACATTGCTCAGCAACTAACCTGTGGCATTATTTATTTGCCTGTGGCATAGTTAATACTCATCAGATTTTCTTGTGACTCTTCAGTTAGTATCACACAGAATAATTCACTAAATGAGGGGGTCTCCTGTTCAGTGAGACGAAACCATAGTGCTTTGTTTCTTGATTCAAAAAATCATTGGCCTCGGCTAACTCTCTACCGAAGTGAGGAAAGTTCTGGAATCCTGCTGTCTTTGAGTAAGCAGTGGGTGTGGCTTTAGAAGGATTATTGTTTAGCTTCAACCAGGCCTTCTATCACTGGGGACCTGACACAGAAGTGAGCCTTGTCTCCTATTGATCCAGACTGACACATGCAAGTCCCCAAGCCCTTTCTCACACACACACACACACACACACACACACACACACACACACACACACACCAGGTACGCTGTGCTCCCCACAAGCTGACTCTTGTCCCTCTTTCCATCCAGGTTCTCTACACAGAATCCCCTCAGTTGATAAGACCTCATATTTGCTTGGGGCTGATGTCTTAGAGAGGTTCTGGTGCCTCTTGTGAAGCTTCCTGAGGTAAGGCTTGAGGTGGTCAGAGTTTTCTGTAGAATGCAGGAAGGAATGTTGAGCATCTTTGGTTTTTGCAGCTTTGGCTCTTTGCTGAAATTCTAAAACAGTGGGACATTTTCCACATCACTTAGATTGTAGAGAGACCAAAAAGAGGCAGTTGATTTTTTAGTGCCAAATGGGTTGGACTGAGAAAGGCCAAGGACATTAGGCCTGCTTCTAGATGAATCTGTATTTCCAGAGAGGACTAACTGAGGGGAATACCTGCCTTGGATGCAAGGGCACTGACACACTAAAAGGTGCAGAAACGGGCTAATGCACACATTCTCCCTCCACTTCCTGGCCACTCAGCTCTACTGCCCAGATGTTCGGCCTCACTTCCGTCCCAAAGCTACGGCTCCATCTCATCCTGGACTACAACTCTGAAACTGCTGCCAAAAGTATCCTTCCCTCCTTTTCCATTGTTCCTTTCAGGTATCCGTGACAGCGGCAAGAAGCTGACTCCAGGAATCATCATATTACCCGACTGTGCCTAGGCCAAAGTGTCTCAGTTCCTAGGACTCTTTTGTCCAAGACTGATCAATGGAGGCTATCTACTGTCCTTCATAGGCTATGTTCTTCCATGGACACGGAATGTTAGCCTTTTCTTCATTCTTCCGCAACCCAAGTCTTAAAGAGGCAGTCCAACATTCTCCATAGGGAATACCAAGCTTCAAGCTTGCAACTCAAGAAGTCCTTCTACGTGGGCAATGTTACCAAGAATGGGTCATGTTTGTAGCATCAGAAAAATGACCTAAGGGCTTCAGGGGGAAGGTCAGGCTTCACATTTCACAAGAATGGTCAGTCAGATGCTGGGCAGATCCGTGAAGTAGCAATGGTGTTCCCTCTCCTCCTTCCAGGAGAACAGATTTAACCAAGGGAACTGAGGTATGTGTGAAAGTCTGAAGAAGCTGGTAAGAGGAGCTACAGAGCCCAGAACAGCTGCCCACACACAAGCTAGGATAGACATTCACCCACAGGGTGGCACAGTTCCAGTGTCGGGTACTCACCAAGTACTTTAACATTCTTAGTATGGTACTGACGTTAGGAGGGACTGGAAAAGAATTGGACAGCAAATCTGATGCTCCCTACGACCCTGGTTTTTGAGCTGCTATGGTTCAAAATTAAAACTGTAATAGGAAGTAAAGAGAGAGGTCCCTCGATCCCAAAGCCCTGGTCACCTGCCTCCTTCTCATGACAATGCCACGGGTACTTCTCAGATGTCCTACCAGACAATGGGAATGCCGTCTATCCTCCTGTGTGCAAACTGCTGAGTGCTGTGTTCTGCTTTTCATACTTCAAAAAACCTTGAGTTCGCTCTATATTTTAAAAAGAACAGTAGGTCTTCGAGATAGTCAACTGCCTTGTTCAAAACCATACTCAATGACATGTGTAGTATTTCGGTGGCTTCAGTATAGTTCATTCTGTTTTAGCAGACAGCTGACGTGTTTTCAGTACTTTGTTATATAATTCTGCCAATTTGCTCACATATGTAGGCTGAATCCTCATAGAAATAGAGCTGTGTGCCGAAAGATAAGGACATTGGTAATTTTAATATATGCTACCAAATCACATGGCGATTCATATGAACATTACCACACACTCCCAGCCAGCCGTGTATAGGGTGCCAGACTCTTGCCCAACACTCTGTAAAGCTAGTAAGTTTTGAAAATGGGAAAAAGCTGAAAGGTTCCCAAATGTAGGATGGTTCCTTAGAGGTCCCTGGAGTTGCCTGGAGTAAACCAGGCAGCAATAAAGAAGGATCTAAGACACCACCCACCCACCTCTGACTCTTAACCCTGTCCGGGCAGCCAAGACCAGTGACCTGTAATCACATTATGGCTGGCATTGTGATGCCCCTACATCTCATGCAGGGAGCTAAGAATCCTAATGTGTGGCTGGATCCATATGCCCAAAAGCAATTAACTAGTCACACTTCTCATCACTGTAACCAGTGGCCTCTCTGTGGTCTAGCACACAGGACATCAGGGCCAGTCTTAATTAGTTCCCTCCCACTGACAAAGCTCTGTCTGCACCAACCATATCAGAAAGTCTTTAAAAGGCTCCATCCTTCTCAGTCTCTTCCTCTAGCCCACCTTGAGAATATGGTCAGAATAAACCACATTCTCCAATAGTAACCTTTGCCCCCATAGCCAAAATAACGGCAGTTCCTTTTTAGGTTTCTGGTCCAGGGCTGGCGGCTAACCTTGCTCAGTTTTCTAGTCAAAGTTCACTGTGCTGCTTGGACAGCATTGGGATATCATACCTGTGCCATACTGCTGGCCTCTCCTGAGGGACAGGCAGATAGGACTAACTGAAATGACAGAAATAGCTGTCAGCAACTGTGGAGTCCCCGTGCGTCTTCATCTCTGATGAATCCTTCTTGTCCCTGTGGCTAGGGACGGGCAGCTTCTCAACTGTTTGCCAACTTCTCAGCGTGGCAAGGGAGGGAGCTGAGACTCAGAGGACAGTGCCAGAGCTACTAAAGCAGAGTCCCCAATGTCATCGTCCCGATGACAAGGTGGCCATGTTAACCCGTTATCTACTTTACCAATGAGAAATGGCAGACTGAGAAGGTGGGAGCATGGGTGGGAGCACTCTCCAGAGAGGACCAACTTCAGTGGGGGAGCTGTGAGCTTCAATCAATGAGAAAAAGCTTTGACCAATGAGAAAAGGCTGGCTGAGAAGGTGGGAGCACGGGCGTGAGTGCTCTCCAGAGAGGACCAACTTCAGTGGGGGAGCTGTGAGCTTCAATCAATGAGAAAAAGCTTCAACCAATGAGAAAAGGCTGGCTGAGAAGGTGGGAGCACGGGCGTGAGTGCTCTCCAGAGAGGACCAACTTCAGTGGGGGAGCTGTGAGCTTCAATCAATGAGAAAAAGCTTCGACCAATGAGAAAAGGCTGGCTGAGAAGGTGGGAGCACGGGCGTGAGTGCTCTCCAGAGAGGACCAACTTCAGTGGGGGAGCTGTGAGCTTCAATCAATGAGAAAAAGCTTCAACCAATGAGAAAAGGCTGGCTGAGAAGGTGGGAGCACGGGCGTGAGTGCTCTCCAGAGAGGACCAGCTTAAGCAGGGAGCTGCGAGCTTCAGTCAGAAGTTGGGTGTCTTTCACAGAAATTAACTGACCTCTGCCTTACAACGAATTATTGAAACATTCTCATTCGCCTTCAAGTTGGGTTTGAGCGATGGTTTCAAGAGCAACGCTGCTGTTGAACCTGCGTGCCGCAGGGTTAGAGGAGGGCTAGAAGATTGCCCTCGTTTCCAGACCAGATCACGCTTGGCCACTGCCCCATGAACTGGCCTTTCCTGTGTGCTGCAGCAACAAGTTGGCACACGAGTCCCCGACCTGGTGACCATCCACAGCAAAGCACACTTCAGCCAGACTAGTTGGGAAGACCGCTCTTTGCTTGATCTCAGTTTCTTAAAAGGTGATTGACAAGCTAGGAGAGTGGAGACATGAGGAGTGAGTGTGGTCTGTCTTCTCCATTTAGCCTTGTCTCCATTCCCTTTACACCCCCCCCCCATTTCAGCAGATAACTCACAGACCCACCCTCTCATCTCTGCCCAGGCCCTGTGCAGCCCAGCCTGCCTCTGGGTGGTGATAGCCCAGGCCCTGTGCTGCCCAGCCCGCCTCTGGGTGGTCATAACCTCTCCCTCCACTTCCTTACTAGTCAGACAACACCAGCGATTATTTTTATGTGAAAGTTGGCTTCTATATTTATAGAATTTACGTCTGTAAGGAGAAAGTTCCGACAGAATAATTGATAATTGGCTTGCTGAGTTCTTCTTAGTTCTGGGAGCGAGGTAGCTGTCTGTGGCACTTTCTAGAGTACAGAAGTTCCTAAAGTGGATAGAGAAAAGAGAATGACACGTTCCTATCCGTTTCTTGCCAAGGAGTGCATTTATTCTAATGGTGGAGTTTCAGGTACCAGGGAAAGGCATGTGTTGAAGCAAAGGAAGTCAGGTATGTGCTGAGTTTCTCAGCTTGTTCCTGAGAGATGGCCCAGCTATTTGTAAGATCAGCCCATGGGCAACATATGCTTCCCTCAGTCTCCTCCCTCATTCCTTTATTAATTCGGAAATCTCTGACTTGTGCCATAGCTATCTCTTCATACTGACTGTGATTTTTCAGTTAAAAACAGAAGGAACTGCACCCTATATTTTGTTTGTTTGATAGTGTTAAGAGAAACTGCTCATGGAAATTTTTGGTTTAGCTGTGTGTATTGGCTTTTGCATTTTGTTTGTGGTTATTGAGACATGATTCACACACTACAAAATTAACTTTTTTAGGGGACTACAAGAGGAAAGGAAGAGGTCTAAAAAGAGAGGAGACCAAGACAGGTTGGCGGAAAAAATATGCGTATATCATGATAGGTAGAGCAAGGAAAGGTGAGAGGGAATGGGGGCGGGGAGAAGGGAGGGGCGGAGCGATGAATAAGAACAGTGTTTAATGATATTTGTGTATGGCAATGCCACAGTGAAGTCCATTTCTTTATATCGTAACAGAAAGGTTTAAAAGATGATCTAAAACATAAGCAAAAATTGCCTATATCACAGAACCAGGAATATTACGATGAAAGTCCCTTTCCAATCAATAAAACAAAACTGGGGTCCATGGGCTTGTCTTGGCACTGAACAGAGAGAGCAGGTCAGCCACCTCTATGCTAGGCACACACAAACATCCCAAACATTTACCCTTTTAAATGTTCCAATCCATTGTTTAGCAAATTCATAACTTTATGCAACAATTAGTGTAATCTAATTCTAAAACATTTCGCCACTCCCCAAAGAGACTCTATATTTACCAGCTCTTGCTCTATGCACATACACACACCACACACACACACAACACACACACTCACACAATACACCACACCACACCATACACCCTGATGGCCACATTTACATAGCTTTTCATTTTCTGAGCTTCCAAGATTAAGATAAACCGCTTTCAAAACAGGAAACATTGCG